CTAAGTTAATGATAAAAAGCAAGACCGCCTGCGAAAAAAACGCTTTCTATTAACCAATTTACTTGCTTCAGAAACACAGCTGCACAAGCTTTCAGAATCGACAGAATCAGTGGGCTGCCTCCAATACCGGGATGCGGCAACTAACCAAAAAATGCATTTGTTGCAGCATCTATTAGTGGGTCGCGTTCAAATCCTGACTAACTTATGTAAATTCATTAAGCTAATTTCAGAGCAGCCAATATTTTTAATTGAATATTTTACTTCTCTTTGTCCCAAACAGAAAGAGTGGAGAGCTTATTTAATAGTAACAATTACCGGTATAGCTTCTTTTGGCGACGAAACTTCGTCAGCAGTAAGCAGTTTTGTTGCACTCTGAAGTTCTGCTGTTTTTGCCTGCAATACACACTGTAAATATATAGTTCTAATTATAAAAATTATATAGTTTTTTTTTTCTTTTTTTTGCCCTATGATTCAGGAATGCCAATCGCATTCCTCTGTGTTTACAATTTCTTCATTTTCGTCGTATCCCTTTTTTTCATACCCACAAAAACCATTTCATTTTCCTTTTATCATCTTCCTTATCTTCTTTTGGTCCCCCTACCCCTATTTCCTTTTCCTTTATCATCCCCTTTTATCACCCATTTCCCCAAATTCCCAAATTCTTCCAAATCATTAATCATCCCTTGGGGCGGGCCCCAACTCCCTTTATAAACCTCTTTTCCTTCCTTCTAGGCCTCAGTTCTTCTCGACTAGGACGACCTCAGCAACCTCGCCAAGCCAGCTACGATTACGGCTAACCCTAACCGTGGACTCGACAGACTCGACTCGGCTCTTCATCTTCTCGAAAGGACTATTCCCCCTCGGAGTCCCGTTGTTGAATCTCCCGCTCAGCAGGCCACTTTGTCGTCAGAACCCAAGCATCGCGCCTTGTATATTATTGCTGTCGTCTGCTTGCAGTAAGTAAGACATAAATTTGTTATTTATCTAATTGGCCCTCCAGTCTACGCACCACGCCACACAGCGACCCACACACGTAAAACAACCCCATCACATAAAATTTTTACTCACACCAAAGACATAGAAAACTCAAAAAACCCTTGAACCGCAAACTGATATTGACTGGGAACTACATGAACTAGTGTTTTGTGAGATTCTGTGGAAAGGCATGGTTTCTACGTCCCTAAACATTTTGACAAACATTTGACAACGTTCCTAAACAAAACGACTTTTTTTGCACGTTTTTTTTCATTAAAAAAAAAAAAAAACGTTTGACGTCTTTTGCGATTTGGGCTGTCAATAAAAACCATTCGCAGGGGGAATTGCATCAGTTTGCTTTCATGAAAATGAGACGGCCTAGTTCGTGGTATGATAAATAAGCCAGCATAAATCTTCTGTCGAGGAATTTATCAAATCCGAGATTTTAGCCGTCAGCGATCTGTAGAAATCCCAATTACAAAATAAAGACCAGATCGCGAACCGCAGTTTGAAGTGAGAAATACAGATACAGAGGAATAATGAAAATGTGAACCAGAAGGAGCCAACGACAATTAAAACCTTAAAGCTGAGAGCTCATAGTCCTTAGAAGGAGTGAAGTATAAATTAAAAATTGCAACAAAGGCCATCTGATCTGAATGGCTTTAAAAGTTGTATTCATGTATAACCGAATTTGCGGACGAGCAATATTTCCATGTAATGGATTTTAAGAATGTACCTCCTCACTTGGTGATACTGCGGGTTTTGGTTTAACTTCAGGTGGTATTGCTAGCGGTAGATCCTTTGATGATACCTGAAATTTTTTGTGAACAAACCAACTTCTATTCCAAAAAGGTGCTGGCCTAGCATCACATGCATAACAATCAGCTCCCATATGACAGCAAACAAAGATTCTTTGCTAGCTATATAAAAAAACTTACCTCTTCTCCAGCTGCTTTTGGAACACTTGCACCTGATTCATTTGGCTTGCTTATCTATAATAAAGAAGCTGTTTCCCGGCAGAATTAAGGAGCAGTACATCATATATTTAGATTTTGTTAGGGCTCTTGAAGGCAAACTCATGCTGTAAGAAAACCTTTGAATAGTCTGTTCTTAAAAAACCTGGCCGATAACTTTTTAGAATTTTGACACGAGCTCATTTTCTCATACATTGTGTTGCAAAGTCAGTCATTCTGAGCGGCAGCAGCGAATGCAAAGTAAAGGACAGTGAATTCTTTCAACTGACCTCAACAAAAAAAGATAGCTAATGGTCGGGAAATTTTTATGCGTTTTTGCGTTGCACTGCTGAGAAAATACATCTATCGGACCTGTAAACGTGTCACCAACTTTCGCGTACGTCAACGTCTCATTTTCGAATGCATGAAAATTTGTGAAAATTAGTAACCTGAGTGCCAGCAAAGCTGGAAAGTTGAAAATTAGGAGCCAATTTTTTTTTGCTTACGCGAGCCACAAACTTCAAGTTCAGTTCTTAAGTATGCATAGCTCTCATGTGCGACTCATGAAAGTTCGGGCAGGAAATTTTGGGCAACTTTGAGAATTGGACAAGACAGAAAACTGAAAATATGTGGGAAACATCTACGTAAGAATATTACTACGATGACTACCACTAATTTCAATACAAGCCTAAGACTCACGTAAGGACATGTGAAAACTTTGGTGAGAGACCTTCCAGCTCAGGAACCCGAAAAGTTAGGAAGCTGAAATTTTAGGGGATTATTTCCTGCCCATGAACGACACAGACGACCATAATTCACCTTCCACGCGCGCCTGCTTTTCGCGTATGGATGATCTCGCAAATGAAGCTTATTTCTGAAGGTGTTGGAAACGGGCGCCAATCGAACTATTCACCTCCACACTCGGATGCGACGTGTAAGGCCACAGCGCCGCTGGCTCCTATGTTCCACGAACTTACAGTCCTTATGTGTGGCATACCCACTCTATACTGCTTCTTCGCTGTATGCTGTACGGCGCACCCTTTCAGCAACTGCGCAGTTACTAAAACTTGGTTCGGCTGGGCTCGGCTGGCGTTATGTACGATCTGCGGACGATTTTTTGACTGTCTTTGCCCTACTGAGGCATAGAATGCAAGATGCCGCAGGTGGGATGGTACTTGAAGAGGGCTTTGGGTGCGAGTCCCGGGCGCGGAATTTGGAAGTAGGGGGAGAGGGTTGTTAAGGTGAATTGAGTGGTTGTGTGGCGCAGCCGCGTAAGGGAGAGAGGGGAGAGAGGTGATGGACGGAAAGGAGGAGAGCCATGCTGCTGGTTTTTGGCGCGGATACACGATGTATGGAAAGCGGTCGGAACGACGGTAAAATGCAGAAGGCACAGAAGGGGGAGGAGGGCCGGCAATGCATGAGCATTTTTTTAGGCTGTGGGATTCGAAACGGGGGAGGAGTTGGGGCAGGTGTGAGGGGCGTGGTGTGTGCAGATTTCGCGCGCGGGGATTCGAACCGGGGAAAGGGGGT